AAATTCAACCACATTCTGGTTCTGTGAATCAGACCCTTGGGCAAAGCAAGAGAAGATTCCAAGATGCAAACGCTCTCTTGTGAGAAGAGATCAAAAGGGCCATAACTGGGACGCCTAGGTGGCTCAGTCTGTTGGGCTTCCGACTTCGGCTCAGGTCATGATCTCGTGGTCCCTGAGTTCAAGCCGCACGTCATGCTCTGTGCTGACAGCTCAGAACCTGGAGCCTGTTTCAGATGCTGTGTCTCCCTTTCTCTCTCTCTCTCTCTCTCTCTCTCTGCCCTTCCCCTGCTCATGTTCTGTCTCTCTCTCTCTCTCAAAAATAAATAAGCATTAAAAAATAAAAAGAAATACATAAACAAAGGGACCGTAGTTTATAAGGGAGGTTAGCTGGAATCGACCGCAGTCTGTGCCCGCAGGAATTCAGCCTGTGCTAAAAGCAACAATATCACTTCCGCTGTAACCCTCCCGTGTGGCCACATCTCTTACGGTCAAGACCTGCTCAGGGCACCTGGGTGGCTCAGTCAATTACGCATCCCCCTTCGGCTCAGGTCATGATCTCACGGTTCATGGGTTCAAGCCCCCAGTTGGCCTGTGTGCTGACAGCTCGGAGCCTGGAGCCTGCTTCGGATTCTGTGTCTTCCTCCCTCTCCCTCTCTCTCTGCCCCTTCCCTGATTGCTCTATTTTTCTCTCAAAAATAAAAATAAAAAACACATTAAAAAGATTTTAAGAACCACAGGAGACCTCCCTTCTCCCCGCAGTGAGATATAAATGTCTGTGGCTGAAGCCACCCAGTGTGTGGTACTTTGTCATAGGCGTCCTAGCTGACTAGGACAATCTCTTACCTCTGGCGTCTAGAGAATAGAGGCCTCGCCTCGTCTGTGTCCCTGCCCCTCAACGTGCATTCATTGAACTAAATATTTGCAAAAGCATCTGCTCCGGTCCTGGCCCTGGCCTAGGGCCTGGGTTCCAGAAGCGCTTCAACAGGGTGCTATCTGGTCAGGTCCCCTGCACAAGGAATTTTAGCTTGAACTCGAAATGACGAGAAGGAGCACCCCCTCCCCCGCCAGGGCGGGTCTGGTGCAGACAGAACAAGTAGGATGTGCTTGAGGGGCAGAAAGGAAACTGAGGCGGCATGCCATTGTCCAGGTGCATGGTGTGGAGGGTGTGGGCACCGTGCAGGAGCTGAGGTCTCCCCTCTTGCGCCCCCGCTGTGAGGGGCAGGATGTTGGAGTGGCTATGGATGGGCACAGACTGCAGCCGGACAGCCTGTGTTCTAATCCCAGCCGTGCCACTAACTCATCGTGCAATTCTGGATTAGGTTCTCTCTCGGCCTCTCTGTGCCTCGGTTTACTCACTTGTAAAACGGGGATCATTATCTCAAAGGATTGGTGTTAAGATTGAAATACTTAGGAGAGCACCTCGCGTGTGGGAAGGACTGCACAGGTCAGCCCTCATTGTCAGATTTAATGTCATTGGCCGTCTTGAGAATTATTATCCTTTTTTTTTAATTTTTTTTTCAACGTTTATTTATTTATTTATTTTGGGACAGAGAGAGACAGAGCATGAACGGGCGAGGGGCAGAGAGAGAGGGAGACACAGAATCGGAAACAGGCTCCAGGCTCTGAGCCATCAGCCCAGAGCCCGACGCGGGGCTCGAACTCACGGACCGCGAGATCGTGACCTGGCTGAAGTCGGACGCTTAACCGACTGCGCCACCCAGGCGCCCCGAGAATTATTGTCCTTAAAAGAAACACCTTAGAAACATCTCCGGCAGACGTGGGACTCGTAAAAACCACACATTTCTTCCCATGCTCAGCAGAGACCTTGTCGTGTGTCCAGTAGCCCAGACAGGTTCTCTGGGATAACTCGACTTTGAAATGACACATTTGAAAAGAAAGTTTATGAGGACTGAGTTCTTGATAACGTAGATCCTAACGATGTGCTCTCTAGGGCCGTCGGCACCTGCTGGTTGGCCATCATATACTACAGCCAATTTTTAAAATTGCTAGTTGTGAGAAATGTTCCAGAAACATCTCAGACCTCCGAGAAGGGTCCAGTGCTCTCCAGAGAGGAGAGCAATGTGGGTAGAGAGACCACCATTCTCCTCAGTGGCGTGGGCCTACCGGTCCCAGGGAGAGTCCTGAACGTGAGCTGGAAAGTGGGGAGCACTCCCCCAGAGCAGGAGCGGCCTTGTCTTTCCCATTGTCCTGGAGCTTAGCCAACAGGTCCTCTTCAGGAATCCTGGGAGATGCCACCAAGACAGAGTTCTGTTTTTTAATATTTATTTATACTGAGAAAGAGAGAGAGGGAACGGGAAAAGGGCAGAGAGAGATTCCCAAGCCGGGTCCTGGCTGTCAGCACAGCGCTCCAAAAGGGGCACAGAAACCGACGTGGGGCTCGAACCCACCAACCGTGAGATCATGCATGACCTGAACCGAAGTCAGATGCTTATCCAACTGAGCCACCCGGGCGCCCCCAAGACAGAGTCTGTTAAAACAGAATGAAGAGAGTATCAAATCCATGCATAGAGGGTGAGCGGAAAGGAGGGAGGACAAGAAGGAGGGAAGAGAAAAGAAGGAAAGGAAAGGAAAAGGGAGAGAAAGCCCAAGCATGAGGGCTTAGAAAAGATTCAAGAAAGGCAGACAGTATTAGGTATCTCAGGACTTCCTGAATAGATTTTATGACATGGAGATGAAATTTAAGAGTTTCCAATGCACAGAAAATGGGCTCCCTTCTTTTCTCTTTGGCTTCCCTTCCCCTTTTCCTGACTTTCTCTGGAAGGAAGGAGCCGAGGCTCCTGCCCACCTCCCTTTGGCAATCGAGGGGTGTCCCACCCTTCCCCTTCTCCACCCCCAAATCCCCTGCTCTACTTCCTCTAATGAACAAACTCATTCGAAAGCTTCCAAAGGCTACCGTTTCCAGTAATGTTTAGCGACGTGCAAAGAACAGTTGCAAAAAAGTATGATATACTATTGATGAGGTTAAAACCAGGTAAAGAAGTGCAATGCGACTGATCTTTAATGTGCCTATAAAGAAACATAAAGTAATCGGATTCTCAAGAGTCCCTCTGATTTAAAAAGGGGAAGGGGGCCCCTGGGTGGCTCCGTCAGTTAAGCGTCCAACTTCGGCTCAGGTCATGATCTCCTGGCTCCTGAGTTTGAGCCCTGTGTTGGGCTCTCCACTCTCAGCTCGGAGCCCACTTCAGATCCTCTCTCCCCGCCTCTCTCTCTGCCCCTCCCCCACACTCTCTCTCTCTCTCTCTCTCTCTCTCTCTCAAAAATAAACATTAAAAAATAAATAAATAAGGGGCGCCTGGGTGGCGCAGTCTGTTAAGCGTCCGACTTCAGCCAGGTCACGATCTCGCGGTCCGTGAGTTCGAGCCCCGCGTCAGGCTCTGGGCTGATGGCTCAGAGCCTGGAGCCTGTTTCCGATTCTGTGTCTCCCTCTCTCTGCCCCTCCCCCGTTCATGCTCTGTCTCTCTCTGTCCCAAAAATAAATAAACGTTGAAAAAAAAATTTAAAAAAAAAAATAAATAAATAAATAAAATGAATTAAAATAAAAGTGATACATTTTACATTAAAAAATACAGCATAAGCAAGTAAAGAGTCCGGTTAATGTGATAAATTCGATTAAACTAGTTGCCACTTTATCGATGTTACATACAATCTCTTTTGAACCTTAAGATGTATTTGATTTCTTCTCATCCATAATTTCCCTCCTAGAAACATGAATGTCAACAAATGGCACATATAACAAAAATCTTAGAGAGCTGGGGTTTTTGTTTTTTGCTTTTAGCATTTATTTATTTATTTATTTATTTATTTATTTTGGAGAAAGAGAGAGAGATCAGGCACCACAAGCAGGGGAGGGGCAGAGAAGGATGGGGAGAGAGAGAGAGAATCCCAAGCAGGCTCCACACTGTCAGCGGATTCAGGGCTCGAACCCAGGAACCATGAGATCACGATTTGAGCCGAAATCAAGAGTTGGACGCTTAACAAACTGAGCCACCCAGGTGCCCCTGGGTTTGATTTTTTTTTTTAACTGAATCATTGATTTTACTAAAAGTTGTTTCAAAAGAAAAAAAAACTTTCGTTGTCATGACATTTTAAAAAAACATGGGTCTGAAGGACCATTTGTAATAATACTACTATTTTACGTATTTATTGTGCTTAACAATATCCAAATACCTTCAGGTGCATAATCTTGATTCTCTTAACTTTTGGTTACAGTAGGTAAGGCAACGGAGGATCAAAGAGGCTGACCGTTCAAGGCCCCATAAATAGTACATTTAAAAGCTGGGGCCCAAAGCGGGGACTTTAGCACCCTGGTGCACTGGAATATCCGTCCCATCGCGTTATAAATGGGATTCCTGTGTTGAGAAGGATCTAGTCAGTGTCACTTTAAGAGTGTGTTATTTTACAAATCAATTTTGTAAGGTACTCCTTCACGTTTATCAGTAGTCTTCCTGATTTCCATGTACTTATATTCTTGCCCATGTATTATGTTAAAGAATTCAGGTAACCTCAAAAGAAGCAGGAAGGAAATTTCAGAATTGCCCGCCTGCCGCGCTTTCCAAGGCAGCTCAAGAGCTCAATTTAAATGAGACTTTCATTACTTTAAACTCTTATTATAGAAAATCATACCGAAATTAAGTTCTTCATCCCATTTCCTAAAATCTAACTTTAGTCTGGGGGAGGGAAGGAAAATGAGAATGAGAATATATTGACGTCACGCGCTTAGAAAAAGAAAATCAACCTCGAAGTCTTATCTTTGTCTATTTGCGACTCGTCTTCATTTCTACTCTTCAAGGTCAGCAGAGCACCCAAACTCAGCCAGGTGTCTCTTCCCTGAGACTCGTGCTTGAGCCCGAACACATCTTCTCTCCACGTGGGTATACTAAGTGTCGGGTTGTCACGAAGATCGGGCCAATCAGCATGGATTTGGAGAATAAGGTTCATGGAGTCCGATAACGTCATAAATTGACTACAACACACAGACCTCAGAAGTTTTAAAAACCTGTATTATAGACCCAACAAAAAAATACCGTCGTCTATGAGCAACCGAGAATTCGTCCATTATGGTTATAATTGCAACTTATAATATGCGCCGGTCTCCACCTGCAGGTGGCGAATGGTTACTACAGCCTTGTGCAGCAAGTGTGAACATCAGTTGTGGAAAAGGGTTCCAGAGGAATTAACACTTCAACATATTCTCAAGTGTTGCTACAATGAATCTGTACCGGTGGGACCATAAACTTTTGGTGGTTGGATGGCCCCAGAATGTATGAGGACCATATGTCAATGTCTGTCTTATTCAAACATGGGTGCTCCATAAATTACGTGCTGAATGAGTGAATGAATGTATAAATGAGTGAATGAGTATTGCAAAGAAATTTAGGAATTTGAACCTGGCCAGAAGAACGTAAGTCCTGCTCCAACGACCCATCCAATCCAATCTTCCTGCCGCGTTAAGTAGAGATCTGGAATCAACGGATCATGTCATGTTCCTCTCTGGTTAGAAACATGAACCACTTGGCCCCTTTGGAGTAGCCCAGAAACAAATGAGAAATGGAGGGGCTGGGAAATCCCAGAGCCTAGCTTTCATTTTTCACCGGATTTCTTGGCTCCCTGTGTTTCTGCTCATTAAACAGGAAAAAACTAAATTGTTTCTAATTTTCAAAACACTTGCATGGTAACTCATTCTAGATGCAAACAACTTTAAAGGCAAAATCACCAGCGGCTATGTAGTATACAGAGCATAGATACCAAAGGAGGCCACATAAAATTAAAAAACACTAAAGAACAAATAGTCCGTGTCGTCCAGGGGGATGAACTATGCAACCCAAGTGAAAATTAAAACCAAAGTGCATACGCTCATCAGCATTGCATAACACAGCTGACTCATTTGCATACAATGCAATTATTTCTGATAGGTGCTGAACTCAACACACCCAGCTGGGTTAGCTGTGTCTCCAAGGGCTTTTTTCCCCTGCACGTTGGCTGTGTTCCCTCCTGGCCATGATCGCAAATAACCGTTCACAGCACCGTGAGACTGGGAACAGTTGAAATAAGCGCTATACTGATCTCTGCATGGCTAGCCTTCGGGGCCCCTCACGTGAACAAGAAACAGGCCCGATTCTAGGTCAGAGGGCTCCATTCCTAGAACACTGTATCTGATCTCGTGTTTTAGGAACCCCCACTTGTTTGGTGCTATATAAAGAATTCTTCTTCTTCTTTTTCTTCACCCTGGACTGGCAGGTGAAGGAGACATTTTGACACCGTCTTCCTTGCACCAAGATCCCTCTGGCCAGCAAGGGACAAACCATGGATCCTTTCCTTAGAGATTTTATTGTTCTTGGAGGCAGTTGCCCCTAAGGAGGAGTCTGGCAAGCAGGATGGTGGCTGGCTGGCCCGGAGATCCCTTGGAAATTTGCTCAGAACAGATTGCCTGGGTTCACAGTTGACCGTGGTGCGCCCTGTGTCAACATTAGTTTCTGCCTCCAGCTTCTCAAAGCTGTTTTCCGCGCTGAGGACCTTTGCTGTGGCCCCAGGCTGAAGGTGGGGAGAAGGCAGCTGCATCCGGGCACCCGTGGCTGCGCTGCGGTCCTGGGATGGGCAACCAGGGTTTTTCCACAAAGTACCACTATAGCTGTCTGACGCTGGGCATCCGCCGGGCGCTGGGCACTCCGGAGAGCCCACCTTGAGCCTCCTGGCCCGGCTTCTTCGGCCTCTGGGCTCTAGGGTCCTCCTTGTGGAGACAGGGATCAGCCTGGAGCCCTGGGGAAGCGTGTTAGCTCCCGAGGTGCCGTTCAGAAAGGAAAGCTCGCCATTCCTCACACCAAGTCCTGGATTCAGTTGGACCTAAGGGACAAGGGAAAAAGAAACAAATTCAACAGACGTTTTCCATTAACTAAGTGCCGAGAGCAGACGATGTTCCATTCATCCTCCGCCATGCTGTGCCCACAGCAGACTTGCAACAGAGCCAGTTGAATTGAAGTCATAAGTCCAATCTAATTATGAGCTCTATCAGTATTCAGCTCCACACATCTTTCTCTCAGACTCCCTAAACCAACGTATGACAAGGCTACGAATCTGAGAATCAAATGACCGCTTGACAACAGCACGGTTCTTGTAGATCATGTTGTTCAAATGACACAAAGATGTTCGAAGATGTCATCTGGCGGCCTCACTTGCTGATGCAAACAATGTATCACCAACTATGCAATCAAAATCACAATAAAAAGCCACCCAAACACGTGGCCATAGTCAAGATAAAGCCTGGAATAAGAATTCAGTCCTCCAAAGTTGGTAAGTTCTTTTAGATCAGGCCAATGATATATATCTTGAGCTATTGCAAGACATGTGGGCACTCCAGCCAGACTAATAATTCGACACCTTTTAAGCCAATATTCTTTAAATTGGGGGGGGTGCCATTTGTTTATAGCACAGACCTAGTGTCATGTGGGAAACAAAGAAAGGAGGGAGCTGTGTTCTCTTAATCCCTAGCAATTCCATTCTGGTTCCAAACGTACAGGCCCTACTCAGCAGAGCTCCCAGCCTAGGGTTTACTGCTGTCTCCTTCTGCAGAATGGAGTTCACTGGCCCATCTCCCATCCTTGGACTCTTGGGAGCCTCATCCCCTACTCGTTACACTGCACTCTGACCAAGAAGATTTCTGGAAAAGATAATGTTCTCTCTCTTGTCAGTAGCCCTTAGAAATTGGCATCTAGGGCCTACCCCTGCCTGGCCCTGCCCTTAATCAAATATGGAAAAGAATGTCACAACCGTAAATACATTTTCTAAGTGAAAGAAACCCATCTGAAAAGTCTACATACTGTATGATTGTGACTATATGACATTCTGGAAAAGGCAAAGCTATGGAGACCATAAAAAGGAAAAAAAAAAATAAGTGGGGGGCACCTGCACGCCTCAGTCGGTTATGTGGCCGACTTCGGCTCAGGTCACGATCTTGCACTTAATGAGTTTGAATCCTGCGTTGGGCTCTGTGCCGACAGATCGGAGCCTGGAGCCTGCTTAGGATTCTGTGCCTCTCTCTCTCTCTCTCTCTCTCTGCCCCTCTCCTGCTCACACTCTGTCTCTCCCTGTCTCTCAAAACAATGAATAAACATTAAAAAAAAAAAAAAAAGTTAGTGGTTTCCAGGGGTTAGAGGGGAGAGAGGGATGAACAGGCAGAGCTCAGAGGATTTTTAAGGCAGTGAAAGTACTCTGTACGATACCGTGGGAGGGGGGGGGGGTGGCACACGTCATTATACCTTTGTCAAAACAGTTCGTGCAACACCAGGAGTGAAACCTAATATAAACCGTGGACTTTCCGCGATAATGATGTGTCTATGCAGGTTCATTGTGGGATGGCGGGATGCTGACAGAGGGGGAGGCGGTACCTGCGAGGGGCAGGGGAGCATATGGGATTCTCCAGTTTGCTGTGAACTTAACACTGATCTAAAAAAAAAAAATTGTTTTTAGGTTTGTTAAAAGAAAATAAAAAAGACTGGTCCATATTTATCTCCCCAGGCAAGAAGGAAGAAATCAGAACAGTAAGAAAGCAGGTCTAGAAACGACCAAATCACCACGCACGAGCGTCCGGTAGTTGCTTACTTATGTCACACTCATGTAGGCCCAGCCCCCAATTTTCTCTCTGATAGAAACGGTATAGTGACCGTGATCAAACTGCAAAAAGCGAGAAAGTTGTTTCCATCAACTCCTTTGGCAAATATTCTCTGTAAAGAGCCGTATAATGTATCTGAGGCCCCGTGGACCCAAGGTCTTCATTGCAATTACTCGACTCTGCTGCAAAGCAGCCTCAGACAATGAGATAAATGGGTGTGGCTGGGTTTCAATCTTGTGCAATTTTCATGTGTCATGACGTTCCCCCCGCCCCCAACCATTTAAAAGTGGAAAAACTATTCTTAGCTCCCGGGGGCCCGTGGTTGGCTGATCACCGCTATAGAAAAAAAAGCACGACTTCTCACTCCCCAACTGCCCCTCCCCCACATCCCAACACTTTTTTCAAGCAGAAACTTTTCTGGAATCACTAGATAATGAGGTGCTCTCTGCAGAGCGGCCCTGGTTGAAGGCTGCTGGGCCTCCCTTTGTTCCCCCACCCCCACACCCGCCCGCTGGGGTGCTGACCCCACTCACCAGGTCCCTAAGGCTCCCCGGAACACACTTTGAAAACCGGTATTCTGCAGTCTGGACCAAGCCACTTACCCTGAAATCTCCCCCACAGGTGTGCTTCCCCTGAGCCGCGCCCCCCTCCCCTCCCCTCCCCTTCCCCCCCCACTCTCCCTCTCCCCTTCTCCCCCACTCTCCCTCTCCCCCCTCCTACTCCCCCCCCCCCCACCCGTCCACGCAGGGGGAGCCTCCACCAACATCCCAGCCCCCTCTAGCGGGGACACTGTCAAAGGGATGGCCACTACATGCCGGGATGTGTCCCTGTGTGCGAACCCAGAGGAGAAACTTCTGTCCTCAAACTTGGCTGCACACTGGGGCCCCCTGGGGAGCTTTAAAACACTGACACCAGGCTCCCACCTGCGGACGTTTTAATGTCATTGGGCTGGGAGCCACCTGGGCCTGAGGAATTTTTAAATCTCCCCCCGCCCGGGGGGGGGGGGGGGGTGATTCTAATGGCACAACAAAAGTTGGAAAGTACAGCCACAGACCCAGAAAAGGTGGTCCTCCGGCAGCATGCTATCACGTGGTCACCGTGAGTCTCAGCGTGTCAGGCTGACCTCCCACTCCACATTTCTGGAGTGGGATTTGCCTTTGCCTCTCTCTAATTCCTCCTGCCTCCCTTGCCCTTCCTGGCTTTCTGTCCCTTTTCATTTTTCCTTTCACCCAGTGTTACCTTCTAATAATATCCATCTAATAATTTCTGGGGCACCTGGGTGGCTCAGTTGGTTGAGCGTCCAACTTCCGCTCAGGGCATGATCTTGCAGCTCATGGGTTCAAGCCCCACATCCGGCTCTGTGCTGACAGCTCAGAGCCTGGAGCCTACTTGGGCTTCTGTCTCTCCCTCTCTCCCCCCCCTCCCCAGCTTACTTACACTCTGGCTTTCTCTCAAAAATAAATAAACGTTAAAAAATTATATTCATCTAATAACTTCTCATAAGAAAAACATGGCAAAGGCAGTGACGGCTCACTGTAAAGCCCATTGAACAATTGTGTAAAATAAAAAGGAAAGGCTTCTCCCCAACTCCAACCTCAAGTGACCCCAAATTCTCCCTCTCCGAGAACACTATTCGTTCATTCTTTCCAAATCAGAGGGAAATAGACTCTCTCCCGGATGCAAGCTGGGGTCTCCTCTCCTGGGAGAACAAACTCCCCAAGTCCCCTCAGAGGGCTGAGCCGCCAGCCTAGCCTCCTGGAGAATCGTTTGACGTTATAATCTACCTTTTTACGTGACCCAGTGAAGTCTTTTTCTTCCGGAAATGGAAATTGGCATAGGGATTCCCATACTCAGAGATCATTCAGGGTTGGTATTAGACTATCCAGTCTGGATGAGGAAATCCACTGGTTTGGTTCTGAGGTCCTATTGAATTTTCTACCAATCCTGAAGAGAAGGAGAAGCCTCAGAGCAACCAGGAAGTGCCTCTCAGGGCAGGCTCTGTAGTCGCCCCTCCTCTCAGCTCTGCTCAGCCCATGGCCCCTCCCCTGGGCCTCGCCCCCCTCGCCCCCCTCCAATGTTCTACCTCCCAGGGACCCCTGAGCAGTCTTTCCTGTTCCAACACTCAGTTCTCCTGTTAGATCAGCTCTTCCCCATCAACACCTCCTTCCATGTCAACTGGAGTCCAAAGACCCTCATGGCTTCAACCACTTCCCCACCCAAACCTCCCACTCCTCTCCACCACTCCCTTTCCTTCTGCCAAAGCCTCCCTCGAGACCTCCCAACTCCGGGTTCCATCTGCGTGCCCACAGGCTCTGAACTTGTGCCTTGAGCTGCAGGCTGCAGAAAAGCACACGACTGTTCAGCGTGACATCACCATGAAGGTGCTCTTTCCAACTGGGCCCAGGCTCCCCGTAGGTCCTGTTTCCTTAGCCAACTCTCAGCTGCTTCAGACCTTCCGAGCTGTCCTCAAACCGTCAGTGGGGCCACCACACCCCCTCCCCAGGCAGAAGGATCTCGCCATCTAGATTAAGGAGAAAACGAAAGCCATCAGCAGCTAGCACCTCTCGGCTGCCTGCCATCCAATGTACCTGCAACATCATCATCCTCCCCACAAGAAATGGGACCAGTCTCCGCTCCGTGAATTCCAATGCCTCCTGCCTTCCTGGCCACCGCCAACTTATGGATGATTCACTTCCTCCCACTTTGCTATCTTGTTTCTCCCCTCCTTCTCTCTACCCCATGCTCTGCCCTCTCTTTTTCCACAACAATTAAACCTGCTCAGGTCTATCTTGAATAAACACATTCCTTCACCCTCTTGCCCTCCGGCTCTCTCTCTCCTCTCCTCCACAGTCAGGCCTGTCTATTAAATGTATCCACACTCATTTATCCTACTAACCTCCCCTTATTTCCTCTACCCAAGGCACTGACTCTCCCCGCTACCAATCCACTGAAATTGCCCTTGCCAGAGATCATCCTCAATCAGCTTCCTTGTCATTCATTGTTACATGAGCTCCGGTTGAATTTTACAAGGCTGACCTTTCTCCTTTACATTTGAAGTCTTTTTTTTTTTTTTTAAAGCTTCAATTACTGTGTAAATGATGAAGGCTCCCCAAAGCGTAACTACAGCTCAGATCTGTCTTATAAGCCTCCCACTTGTCTATCCAACTGCCTTCCAGGCACCAGCTCCTCAAACTCAACATGTTCAAAATTGAACTCATTTCCCTACTCATGCTAA